TCGAGTCATTCAATTGTATTTCTTATTACCGGTAATTGAATTAATTCATACACACTTATATTTGTACCTTAGTTAATCTTTTGATTTCAAACCTGAAATTGGAATGAATTTTTAAATTTGTATATGTTAACATTATATTTAAATATCTTAATGTGTCTTTATGAAACATGGCCAAATCTAACAAGAAAATGTAGACAGCACAGTGTTGATTATTTTAAATTTGGCTTTATTGCTATCTTCATAGCCTGTGTGTCTATTATGCCACAAAGTATTGACGCTATGAAACCATTTAAGCTGGAGGATCATTTGAGATGATAATAATAATGGCAATGTCTTCGATTCCGAAGATAAAGGTTGAGTACTGTGTTGCACATGACTACGCAAACCCAGTTACGACCTATATATTTTTCCGATCTCGTGCTAACAAAAGCCGTTGTCCGCCGACGGTCTATTTAAGTTTTCTTTAAGTTTTCAATTCTAATTTTCAGCTTAGGTTTGAGGATATTCTAAATACGATGATACTTCAATGGATAATCAATCCATATGATGATGATTTATGAATAACGGGTGTAACAATACAAGAACTGTTTGGAATAAGTACTAATGAAGAGCTTAAAGTACAATTTAAATACTGGATATCCCTCTGAGACTTATCAGAATATCATCACTAAATTTCTAATTGTAATTCCATCTTCATATTTAGTGGTTACCAATCTTCTAATGATATTTAAAAGAAAACTGGACATCTATAACCGAGAAGTTTTAATACTAAACCTAACTGAATTGAATTCATATATTGTAATCCTGGTATTACAGCAACCCACTAATAGGCATATATTTTTTATTTGGTAAATGTGTGTAATAAATTTGATTTAGCTTCATTTTAAATTTAATTATTCCGTATTAGATATAGACAAAATCATTGAGAAAATAAATGCACATTTGAAGTTGATTTTATTTTGAAAAATACAAAGTTAACTAAACAGGGTGTCTACCAAAAAGTGGAAAACATCATAACATGGCAAGGGGTCCACGAGACAGCGGTTTGGGAACCACTGGTATAAAATATAGACTATTGAGATTTACGGAATGTGATAAATAGACTAGCTTTACAAACAGGGCAATTTGGCAGGGCAAGTTTTTAGGTTCGGTCTGAAATTTTCTAAAAAGTACAGTACTTACGATGTGCAAATACTTGTAAACATATTGTTTATGTCGAAAAATATTTAAGCGTTGAACACACTCTTTTTATCTACCTTAGCATTTATTTTATCTTTATTTTTTTGTGTACAATAATGAACTAAGTTTTTTGTACCACAATTCTAATAGGCAATGATGAAACTATAGAATCAGTTTACATTTTTTCTGTGTATACTAGATTTAGATACAAACCCGTTAGTTGTAAAGGATGTTAGGCCTATTACTTCCTAGTGTCAAGACGTTATCCAGGGCTTGATTTATAGTTGGCCTTCTATTTGTTTAGAATCCATTTTGTTTATTTCCTTACTTCCCATTGAGCTCAGATAAACCACATGCTTCACGTCGTTCTAGAAGAACATTTAGACCTACCTGCTTCAAACGTATTAATACTATTAATATTAGTCTTTTTATCATATGTCTGTTAAGTTCTCATAGCGCCTTGAGCCTATAGAGCTCCTCCTTCGTGATCGAAGATGAGAACATTTCTTGTATCCTATGAACTTGAAGATGACTGCAAAAGTCCAATCCTCGCCTTTAAAAAGCTGGCCGCATACGTGGCATGGGTAGGCTTGGTCAGTTGCAGATAAGCCTGCTTCTTCTCTCGGCTTTTTTATCGTTCTGCTTTCTTTTAGCGCTGTTGACAAACGTAGACACTCAAGTACCTTGAGCCTACACTATGTTTGTCAATAGCGCTATATAAATCGAATTATTGGTGTTAGCACTATCATACTTTACAAAGGCCTCGGGATACACATTTGAGACCAAAAGAAAATCCACTGCCGAGGGCAGACGTAGACGGCGAAAAGAATATCTTAATCGACCTCTGGCGGACAATGGTTATGTTTGGGCTGGGTGTGGCGAAATATGTCGGTCGCAGCAGGGAGGGGGGGGGGGGGCTGCGTAACAACGGGAAATGCATTCCTCATTAATCTTCAGATTCGAAGCCTTGTTATTATTATTATGTTAAAAACGAACGAGTTTCGTTAAAGAGAAACAAAATTCATTGTAGTCCCTTTATCATTTTCTACTGAGAAATTTTCTGGTGATGTGGTTATAATTATTATTAGTATTATTATCATCATAATTTAATGGCCAGGAAACAAAGTACTGGGTATATCAACCAGCGAGAAACATCCTCACCTATTCATTGACACTCTCGTAACACAGAATCCCCTTCAGACTTTGCGATCCATAGGGCAGTGTTTGTATGACCGACAGTTAACGAGGCTGACATGTGACCAGCACAATGACCAACCGCATTTACTTTCCCCATCTAATGTCAGGTAACCATCAAAGTTGGGTGGACTCAGAGGCGTCTAACAATTTCTTAATCCCGAAATTCAAAATCCCAGTCTTCACAGATATTCGAACCCGAGCCCTCTCGGTTCGAAAGCCAATCGCATTACAATTCAGCCCCCACGACTCTTTCTGTTTGAAATGGATACATCCTATAATCGTCTTCCTTGACAGTTTTCTTCTAAAAATAAGTCATGCTTAAACTAGTTGCCTTTTTCATTCCATGGAGAGTAATTTGTTTCGTGTATCATTACAGGGATAAGTTCTACTTTTTATCTTTCAAAATGAGTACATGATAATAATAATATAATATAATATATAATGATAATAATTATTTGTATGTAAAAAAAAAAAAAAACATACAAAGAGCATAATCTTTCTCTCTTTTTCGTCCCACAGGTTCTGACCACGGCAGCGTCATCATGCGGGCCGAGACAGACTCGGTCAGCTCCAAGATGAGTAAGCGGTCCCGTGCCATGAGCAAGTCCGAGTATTCGGTCAAAACCACGGTAGAGAGGCCCATTGAGGCTACCTACGGCCGCCGGACAGTGGTGGTCAGGAGGACCGAGCCGGGCTACATGTTGGTGCCAATCCACCGAAGGTCCTACCACGATGTTGTTCTGTGAGCCAGCCCTAGCGACCACCACTACTGCCAAACTTTATTTCCGTTATGTTAGGACATCACTGTGACATCTCCTTTGAAATTCCTGTGACAACTGCTGTGACAACAGTGAAATTCCTGTCACAACACTGTTATATCTTTGTGACCAAAGTCTCACTTTTTCACTTCCAGCATTCATCAAATAAAAATGTTTTCTTTTAGAAATGACTGAACAAAAAAGGTAATTAAAAATATGTTTGCTCTTTCCTTAAGAGAAACTTTTACGGCCAAACTTAGTCTATGTAGTGGATATATGGTTCTCTCCGATTGTGTGTGCGACTTTTAAAAACTTGTGAGCTGTTTCTTTCAAAACATGACGGACTTAATTCGTGTAAAGAAATGTAGAAGTTTCTAAACTATCAAAGGGAAGCAATAATGAAAATTATCATAGTAGTGGTAAAATTTTGTGTCAGGTTACCTCCCTTAAAATGAAAATTAGAACGATCCTAATTGACAAAATAATTATTATTAAAATGAGAAATGTTTCACATTCTATGGATCACGTAAATCTGGCGGTACTCTATGGACAGGTTACAAAAATGAAGAAGAAAATAACGCTGTGTACTAGACAGAAGCGGCCTTTGGGTTGACAAGTGAGTCAATCGGCCCAGGATCCGCGCCTTAAAGGGGCCCCACGATAAAGAGAAACTTTTGTTATCGTCAGCACATCGTACAAATAATCTTGGCCCTGATATGACATTCACTCAAGGCCCCGGGCCCCGCGCACTGCCAAAGTTGCGTCCGATTAAGGTGAAAGAAGATGTAGAGGGTAGTCCTAATTGGAAACTCATAGCCAACTAGAGATAGACGTTAGAAAGACATTGGTGTACACTGTACTCTCCAGATACACACAAGAGTCAATGCTATTTTGAAAGAATGATTTTTAGTGTAAGCGATTTATCACTGTTTTTTAAACACATTTGTTCTGTTCAATGCCTGTCGTGATAGGATAGGATTTTCTAGTGTCATGTGTCACAAATGATGCTTAAGTGGGCAAGCACCGCTAAATATCCATTCATTAATAGCATACAAGTAGTTCTATGTATGTATGTTAGTAGTTCTATGCATACATGTATGTATGTGTTTATGAAATATATCTTTATATGGATATGTGCGATTGTATGTATATAAATATACATCTGCTGGGCCGTATTTACTTGACCGCAAGTCTTCGGCTAACCATTTCCTAACTCTTGAAGACCTTCACATTTAAAAAAAAATTAATGAACTATATTATACATTTGTAAAATACCACTGACTAACTGACACATTCATTTATCACGAGACCTCTTAAACTGTCGTACGCATCCGCATAAACTTTCGTACAAAGTACATTTTACCTCCTAGGTGCTCACTAAGAACAAATACCTTTTGTAGTTTATTTCTATATAGAAAGCATAAATAGAAATATCTGACAAATTTCGTATTTTTAAATCAATTTTTTTCTTTTTTTCCCAAGTCTACTTATTTTTAATATGCCTTGCGTCATTTTTCACTTCCTTTTAGACGCGGTCTAAATTTAAAAAAAAAAACAACCTAATATAATAAAATAGATCTAGAGTCTTTTTTTTTTTTTTTTTTTTTTTTTCGAGACAGAGATATAAAGAGAGAGTAAGGAATGGTACTTTGTTACACTTTTAAAAATAAAAAAGGAACTAAATCCTGATAGCATTGAAAAGGTCAATCTAGATCTATTGTTATTTCGTTACAGTCAAAAAGGGGTCAACTAAACGATTACAATTAATCAAACCAAAATGATATTTCTTTTTATTTAGAGAAGAACAAACTACCAAACTAAATCTACAAAGGGGAACGGGAATGTGTACAAAGGACAAACTTTTTGTTGTTGGCGAGAGGGGGGAGGGAGGGAGGGAGCGGAGAAGTCAAAGTGCTACTAAAATTCAAGGGCCTAAAATAGGAGAACGTGTATGTGTCAGGGGCGCATTATAAAGCGGGTCTTTCCTACTCAAGTCATAAGTTTAAATGGGGGTTCCTGAGAGCGACAAAGAGAGAGCGGGTAGTGAAATTTCACTGTAACAGATTCACTAATTCACGAGCTAATAAATATGTAAGGTTGATCGTTAAAATTTGGCCCGTTTATTAAAATTTAAAGAAAAAAGTAAAGGGGGGGGGTGTTCTTGCCATAATAAACAATATAAAGACTAGGAACAAAATCAACGGGCTTAGCCGGGTCTGTACTGCTAGTATGCATATAAAACAAAAGAAAGTGAGATTTACGCTTAGCCGGGTCTGTACTGCTAGTATGCATATAAAACAAAAGAAAGTGAGATTTACGCTTAGCCGGGTCTGTACTGCTAGTGTGCATATAAAACAAAAGAAAGTGAGATTTACGCTTAGCCGGGTCTGTACTGCTAGTGTGCATATAAAACAAAAGAAAGTGAGATTTACGCTTAGCCGGGTCTGTACTGCTAGTGTGCATATAAAACAAAAGAAAGTGAGATTTACGCTTAGCCTACTATAGTTCTATCTTCACAAATGTGACTTGTTTTAGATGCAGTCCTATTATTAAGTGCATTCTATTGAAATTCGAAGAAGTTAAGCGCACCTTCAAAGTTCTTAATATCCGGCACTGTACATCTAGTGTTCTTTTTCCTCTGTTACTGTTAAATTGTTTGTTCTGACATTATTTTTTTTAATGGGAACGTTAATGAACGATCCGTAACCATAGTTTCATACCTGAATTCCTCATTTGCTTTGATCTTTTTAGCGTTGACGTTTCTGGTTTCACTCGAGTTTCTTACCAATCACAAAGGGAGGCATAGGCTTTCAATCGAAGCGCATCGGTGGTCTCACCCGACTTATGATATCACAAATACGTTTCTAAGGGTCCGGTCTTTGCTTTGTTTTTATACCCTCAACTTCTGTTCTTTACAGTTACAAAAGAAAGAAAAAAGCAGAACAGGAAAATCCTCGAGGACTGAACTATTTAAATTGAGCACTACATCAAATCATAATGTGTGTGTGTTGTGTTTTCTTTTGCACGTGTGGGCGAGTGGGTTTTCGCGTGTGTTATCAATATACACAGGCATCATGTGTTTCTAGTAGGCTGAAAAAAATATTTTTAAAAATGTAAATATTCTTCTTAAGGAAATAATCGAATATGCAATTTGTTTGAATGTGTATTCACATTTATAATATGTAGGTAAGGCCTACATCACATTTGTAAAGGCCCTTACTATTATTGTATGGTTTATATAGTGCCATAGATGAGGCTGTCCTATAACAATAACAGAGAGCATATCTGAAGGCCTAGCTTTGTTACGTTAAATCCATGTTAAAACTACGTGATTGTGATCACAACAAAATATATAAGATGAACATAATGTAATTCCCATTTGTGGTATGTCTATAGTGATTCTACTGTACATTGGTATCTACTATAACTTTATGATCTATGTGTATAAAGTAATGACCATTCTTGGACTAACGTATATTTTGCTGATTTATACTGATTATGCTAATTATTCATTAAATAAGGAAATTGAATAATTCATAAAATATCATTGAGCGTGTCTATTCGAACGGTTTTAGTACCAGCCACAGACGTTATGAATATGTGTAAGTGTAGATAGCAGAGGTTGAGACGGTGAGTAGTTTCATATTTGACAAGACAGTGGGTCCCATATCTGACAATAAGACAGTGGGTGTCCGGGTGGGTCCCATATCTGACAATAAGACAGTGGGTGTCCGGGTGGGTCCCATTTCTGACAATAAGACAGTGGGTGTCCGGGTGGGTCCCATATCTGACAATAAGACAGTGGGTGTCCGGGTGGGTCCCATATCTGACAATAAGACAGTGGGTGTCCAGGTGGGTCCCATTTCTGACAATAAGACAGTGGGTGTCCGGGTGGGTCCCATATCTGACAATAAGACAGTGGGTGTCCGGGTGGGTCCCATTTCTGACAATAAGACAGTGGGTGTCCGGGTGGGTCCCATATCTGACAATAAGACAGTGGGTGTCCGGGTGGGTCCCATATCTGACAATAAGACAGTGGGTGTCCAGGTGGGTCCCATTTCTGACAATAAGACAGTGGGTGTCCGGGTGGGTCCCATATCTGACAATAAGACAGTGGGTTGTCCCTTAGCTGTTAATGAAACACTAGTATGAGAAAAAGCTATATAAATATAAGGGCACAGATTACGATGGTCTTGAAAGAATGCCACAGATAAGAGAAGCAACGATTGTTATACAAAGTCTGAAAATAGGACAGAAAGCGGGTTGTCTCATATCTGAAAATAGGACAGAAAGCGGGTTGTCTCAAAACAGCAGGCGGGTTGTCTCATATCTGAAAATAAAACACTTGGGTTATCTTAACTCAGAAAAAAAGTATAGTGGGTTGCCCTATATCTGACAATAAAACAGTGGGTTATCACATTCCTGGCAATGAGTCAGTGGCTTGTGTGTATGTGTGTTTGATTGTTAGAGAGGCAGCAAGAGCATGCATACGTGTAAAAGTGAGTGTTTTTGATCTTATTATTGTTGTTGTTGTTTTTTATTTTTGCTACCAATATTCCATTTTATTTTACATGCTTGAAACTGCCACCTACAACTGGTGGACAAAGACCTATTGTTTAAACACATACAAATGGTGGACAAAGACCTATTGTTTAAACACATACAAATGGTGGACAAAGACCTATTGTTTAAACACATACAAATGGTGGACAAAGACCTATTGTTTAAACACCTACAACTGGTGGACAAAGACCTATTGTTTAAACACATACAAATGGTGGACAAAGACCTATTGTTTAAACACATACAAATGGTGGACTAAGACCTATTGTTTAAACACATACAAATAGTGGACAAAGACCTATTGTTTAAACACATACAAATGGTGGACAAAGACCTATTGTTTAAACACATACAAATGGTGGACAAAGACCTATTGTTTAAACACCTACAACTGGTGGACAAAGACCTATTGTTTAAACACATACAAATAGTGGACAAAGACCTATTGTTTAAACACATACAAATGGTGGAATAAGACCTATTGTTTAAACACCTACAAATGGTGGGAAAAGACCTATTGTTTAAAGACATACAAATGGTGGACAAAGACCTAATGTTTAAACACAAACAAATGATGGACAAAGACCTATTTTTAGCACCTACAACTGGTGGACAATAACCTATTGTTAAGGGAAAATGAATCAAAGAGACTGTAATACTTACGTACCGGTTTAAATATATCAAGTATTGTTCTGTACGTACACCAATAATTGTGTATTCTATAGAGATGTGTTTTTACTTTGTATTTTTCTGTTACCTGTACTACTTAGATTAGCGTGTAATATCTAATATTCATCTATATGGGTTGTTGTTTTTTCTTACACCTCCATTGGTTATGTCTTATTTGTGTGACCTATATAATACTGAAGTGTAGATCAAGTATCTGTTTAAGTTATTCTAAACTGTTATCTGCAATATTGGTTAAATTCTATGTTTTAGTAAATTGTGGATTCTTTTAACTGTACAGCCTGCAATATCAAACATATGTAGCTACTATTTCGTGAATAGAACAATAAATTATTTTATCTTTTTTTTTTTTTGTTCTTAGTTTTGTTGTATACGAACTTGTTTATTTATTTTAAACTTACTATATTTTGGCAATGGATTTCAATAAAGTAAAGAAAAATAATGTACTCTCAAGGCACGAAATTGATTTTTTAAAAGAACTCCTACATAAACTACAAGATAGATGAGGTTGCGTGTCAATGTGTTATGCGCCAGGAGGTCCATTGACTCCGGCTTCAACCTGCTTTTCTTTCTGGGCGTGCTCCCATAGCCTTTGATCATCCAGGATCATGTTCAAGGCAGCAGTTGTTTATTTTCAGAGTTGTCTCTCCTAGATGAACTGCTAACCCTAGCTAACGAGCTTCATCTACCCGGGTTTAGAGTTAGAGCGATACTACTATAAGAGACTGTATTGAAAATATAACCGAAAAATCTGACTTCATTCCAACAGAGCTCAAGGAAATATTGAACTCTTTTCTACAAAATCAGTACCCTAGCAATCAGTGAATCAGAGTTTATACGGATGGCTCATCACATAAAGCCACCACAAATGGAGAAGCTGGAATACTCATTGAATGGCCAGATGGAGAAAAATACATTATAACTGGAGAGCTCTCTGACAGCCACAAAGCAGAAAGGGAAGCACTACTAGCAGCTACCACGCTAGCAAAACACCCAAGTACCCCGTACAGTCAGATAGTCTTTCTAACCAAAGCTTGGGAAATTCTGATTCCCTCTACATGAAATGACTCGGTACAGCACTTCTAAAGCTCAACAACAACAGCAAAAAAAAATGTCATTCAATGGATATCAGCACATAGAGAACTAGACGGAAATGAGACGAATGACGCACTTGCCAAGAGCGGGAGAACAAACACACAATTAAACATTGTGCCATACCCAGAAGAAATGAAGAAACTAATTATGAATAAAATAAATGAAAAATGGACAATCCCTCATCCGAATCACAGGAAATATGATGCCGACAAGACCAACGTCTAATATTTCGACTCCGGACTCAGGACTGGACACAACAGAATGAGACAACACATGTACCGGAAGCTCAAAATTGGAACTAGTGAAATCTGCCCATGTGGAGTGTCACCAGAGAATGCTGATCATGTCCTCCAAAACTGCTCTCTCTACCAAGAGACCCGAACAAGACACTGGCCCCAAAATACCCCAATAGAAAGAAAACTATATGGAGAGCTCCCTGATTTGGAAACCACTGCGCAGTTCATCTCATATATTGGTCAAGACATCTGAACACTCCAACAGTTCATCTCATATATTGGTCAAGACATCTGAACACTCAAACAGTTCATCTCATATATTGGTTCAGTCACCTGAACACTCCAATAAAAAAATGAGATCGAGGAAGAAGAATAAAAACTAAAAAACTAAACGCGTCTAGAGGGCTTATATATATAAATAATACTAATACATTTACTAGTGTCTCCTTCAGTCGCCAAGTGGCTTTAGATCACCTCATAAAAATGAGATGATAATAATAATAATAATAATTGAACACATTATGGCAGGATGTCCAGCCCTATCAGAATCAGCCTACCTAGGTCGCCATAACCAAAGTTAATACACCAACACCTGGCTTTGACGTACAATTTAATCGGTAAGGACACTCCTCCTTATTATAAATACTCTCCACAAGAGGTTCTCGAGTCTAC